CTCGCGAGCGCGCTGAAGCTATAAAGCTGCCCACTCCATCACGGCTCCTATCGTTGAGATTGATCAGCCTGCTCCCATTTGAGTGATTTCCCCCTGGATTCCATGCAACGCAATTAGTCGCCTGCTGTATTTTGCCTTTGCGTTGCTCTTTGACCCTCCGTTGCACATTCAAGTCAGTGCAGCACTCTGCTGTTATGAATTCTTTTTTAACAGCTCCTGTATGTGCYCCCCCTCCCTGCTCCCCCCTACTTCGGGTTCTACTAAAGAGGATCACGGATTGCTGGCGAAAGGCCAAGACGTTGTACCTGCTGAGATAGAAAAGAGCTTTGACCATCAACGCTGGGGTTAAGATCAGAGAAAGTGTCTGAGTCTCTCGGAGACTGGCACCCTCAGCGGTGGGCATCACGATGAAGACCCTCTGACCTCCCTGGCTCCCGAAAACAAAAACTCCACTCCAGAAGTGATCTCCTTAAGTAAGGGTTTCCAATCCAATTTTACACAGAGGGAGTGCTTAAGATTAGAGATAGTGTTTTTATTGTGCTCTTCAGTAATAGAAGTAGAAGGAGTGAAGGGAGAGATTGAGGGAAGGAGGGAAAAGAGGAATGGAAAGGATGGGAGATCGATAAGGGCTGCTTTCTCCAGTTGCCTTTACTCTTCGTCAACGTGCCCATAAGAATGAGGTTTAGGCAGCTCATGGCTGCAGGCCATGTAAGCGGGGGCATTAAAGTGTCGCAAAGGGACCTGCTCTTTTCTCATAAACAGGTCTGCAGGTAGAGAAACACTGCCAATATAAAGACGACTCGCAGTGCTCATTCGCAGGCCATAATGAACAACAGTCTCTTCAGCGGAATGAGATGTGGAGCGTACCTGACCGGTTTGGCAGAGGGCTTTTCATTAGGCACCGAGGCTGTTCGCCGAGTCTCGGCCCAGAGGAAAGGGCGTGTGGTCGCAGTGGGACGAGCGCCGCTCCTCTGATTTGCATGGGCCTTTTTACTTCTCCCAGTTCATTTCCAGTCGAATAACTCGTTTGTCACATACATCAGAGGAAGGCGAAGATCATACGAGAGACAGTGTTACTTTGTGTTTCACTAATGAGGCCTGGACTCTCCGCCTACTTGCTTTTGCCTTGCTGCCCTTTGAAACAGCAACAACATAGTGCTGAAGCACTTTAGTAGTTTTCTTCCTCCGATACCAAGCTCCAGGCAGTGATGCTTTTTCTGCTGCTTGGCTTGGCCTCAGTCCTTTGCACTCATTTAAAGTTCAAATAAAGCACAGGCCTTTCACAGAAACCAGTATGCCCAGTGAGGATAATGAGTCAGATTCCAACCAACAAACAGACACTTGAAGGCTCCTGATTGTTTAACYAGTTCAGATCATGTCACGATCAGAACTGGAGCTGGATGCAGAATGAAAACTACATCACAGATCTCTCTAAACTTAAGAAGAGTTGAATAAATAACTGGGAAAATAAACAAGAAAGCAAAGCTAAAAGCTTCCCTGTGATGAAAGATGGGGGGGAAAGAGTTTAAAAAAATACTGAGTTCTTAAGAAAATAAGTTTCATTTTAGGACCAAAGGGATTTCCTGGAAACAAAATCTGATTTTAGTCAACAGTGAGTTTGTTCCCATGCACTTTTAGGTCTTGTATAAACATGATTCCAACATCCTGTAGCTCCACATCTCAGCAACTCTGTCATTTTTATTACAACTTAAATGGTTTAAGTCACATCTAATTTGGTTTATGTTTGCCTGGACACTCATTCATGTGCCGCGCTGCTCGATTGGCATCTAATTGTTAATAATAGAGGACAAGAACAACCATATTTCTTAAATTTCATTTTGTTTTCAACATGTAGATCATTAGTTTTCCTTGCTTTATCGATCAGCTGATAGCAGAGCTCACCTGTTTGCCTGGCAGACACAAAGCAGCATCGATAAAAAGATGAATATGATGCTTCCACAATTGTGACTTCATCATAACGTACGCATCACGGGCGGACTCGCTCCGTGAACAGCACCGCACCAGTTCTGCTCGCAGCAGTGCATCGCAGGATGACGATGCAATTCATCGTTGCAAAAGCCTTTTATTGTATTTCTTTTTATTTATTTCTGTTTTTCCCCCCCAATGARGAATGATTCTGCCTATTGCATCAAGATGCCTCCTGTGCCAATGCAGGAATTTCATTTTAAGACTAATGAGGCAGGCTAAGAGGCAACCGTATCCAGGATTAATCCGGAGAATCCCAGCTACAATAACAAGACATCCCAAAATGCAGAGATTAAGTTACACTGAAAACTTTCCTCTTAGTGAAACCCTTTGGCAATGCCAGATTTTATCCACACATCTATTCATTTAATCCTGTAGTCTGAAACCTGGATTGAATTTATTTAAAAAAAGAATGCAACTTTAGCATCAGCTGACATACTTTTCTCTCTGGAATCTTAAAACCACTGACAGTTTYTGGGCAGGTGTCTTGACAAATAAAAGACGTAACAGAAGCTTTTATCTCTTTAATGACATGAAGAGTATTTGATGTACAAACGCAGCACACTTCCTGTTTCCGAGCTGCTGATGTCTCCGCCTCCGCCGGACAGTCGACGGCTCGCAGGATGCACTGATACTTTGAGCTCTTGTACTGGGAGGTGCATCTTTTCTTGTCTTTCTTTTAGGTAACACATCCAGTTCTCCTTTAAAAATGGGCACTCAGAAGTCGAAATTTGCCAACATCAAGAGCTTCCTTGAATTAGGATGCCCCGCGCTGCAAGTGTGTTATATAATGCCATGACTGGAGGGAGAAGGAAAGTGGAGCACAGGAGTAGAGATTAAAAAAGTTTCTACATGAAAAAAGAGAGGAGGGAGGGAAAAAGAAGAGCGTAAAGGGAAGGGGGGTGGGGGTAGGTGGACTGAGGTAAAGACGCAGGAGACAGAAATACAGTGTAATAAAACTAGAAGGGGGTGGGAGGTAAGGTCAGGCAGGAGCGAGGGTCCGGTTCTCCTGCAGGAGGCTGGTCAGCTCCTTTCCCCTCTCAAGGCTCCTCTCTCCTTTTTTTTCATTTAGATAATGGAGCATTTCGTTAATTGGCAGCGTGCAGTTTAGGCCGAGGTCTGTTTGCCAACACGTCAGAGTGAAATTATTTCCACTACATTTACAGCAGAGTGCTGCTCAGCTTCCTCTCATTAAAACCCTCCTGCCCAGATCGAGCTTTCTGTGGAAATCTGCAGGCAGAGGCCAAACACCACTGCAGCAAAATAAAGAAGAAAGGAATAAAACACATTTATCTACTATCTCACCATCCCCAGTCAGCTTGTAAAGGAGGAGACAGAAACTTCTCTATCTGTTTACTGTTATTGTTTTTTCCCCACTCATAAACTCCTACTTCTGGCTGCGATTGTGCTTCTTTTCCCTCCTCCTCCTCTCTTATCGAAAGAGTTATGCGTCGCGCTCGCATGATCTGTATCTTTAAATTTGATTGAGGGTATTTGCAGGGGGTGTTATTGGATTGCAGTGTTATTGTCTCACCTTTTCTCTCTGTGTTTTTAATGCCGGGATAGATATCCGCACCAGCAGCACTGATCTCACTGTTCTGCTCATTAGGTCGGCTTCACAGAGACTAGTGCTTCGCCACAATAAGACACGCACTTCTGTAGTCCAGCCATTACCCAGTTTAACAATGTGCACCAGCCAGAAAAGTCCATTATTTCTGCAGCTCATCATCCCAAGCATCCACACGAGACAAAAGGTTTGTGAAACCGCTTCAGTACAAGGGCCCATCTATCACTTAAGTCAGGAGCAGAGAGGGAAAAACAGGGTGCAGATACCACATACTGGGAGTTCTGGCAGCATATGGCAGAAGCAGAAAGAAAGAGAAAGGCAACTTTTTTTTCTCCCTCTCTGTTTTGAGTAAGGAGGGCTGAAATGTGTCTCCAATGAGAATTGATTAAAAAACATTGCAGTGCTCTTTGTCCACAGATGGCTCGTATTTTTAGACCTGAAAGAAGTGTAAAAAACTGACTGGTGTGATGAAGATTGAAATAATATCACTGCAAAAACTGTCCACCTTACCAGGTTTTAAACTCTTATATCAGCCAAAAAGTCTTTTTGATCTTGTTTTGAGACTGATTTACTAAACAAGAACTGATTGTGTAAGAATAATCATCTTGTTTTCAGAATGTGTAAGATTATTTGTCTTGTTAGTCWGAAAATTTGACTCAAATTAAGTCAAAAATTTCTGCCAGTGGAGTAAGAAATTTTTACTTGGTAAGATTCTTGAAATAAGAAAAAAATTAGTCAAATCAAGTATTTCAAGAATCTTACCAAGTAAAAATTTCTTACTCCACTGGCAGAAAGTTTTGACTTAATTTGAGTCAAATTTTCAGACTAACAAGACAAATAATCTTACACATTCTGAAAACAAGATTATTATTCTTACACAATCAGTTCTTGTTTAGTAAATCAGTCTCAAAACAAGATCAAAAAGACTTTTTGGCTGATATAAGATTTTAAAACTTGCTTAGATGGACAGTTTTTGCGAGAGGAATGGGGGGGGTGGGGTGAGCGGTATCAGCTCGGAGAGCGAGGCGCGAGTTTGAAAGTGGATCTGAACGAGTGAGCAGCTGCTACTTTAACAGACCTGTCACTGAAATCAAAGACCTTAATCAAAATTTTATCAATTAATTGATCTTTCCTCTTGTGCTTTGCCACGAGTGCAACTGAGATTCCCCCCGACTCTCGGCCCTCCAACTCGAAGCCGTGCTCTACAACATAAACTCTGTTCATTAGCAGTGATCAAGGGTTTCTCTAATGTGAGCTGAGACCTGCTATGATGGCTGTTTCCCCACTGACACAGACACTTTGCAGGACAGCCCTCCCCAGTTGCTTCCTCCATCTCAGGAGGAAGCTCTCCTGCCTTTCACGCAGCTCGTCCGACTCGAACAACGTGCTTTAACTTTAATTCCTGCTCGAGTTCTCACACTTCCCGTCTCGTTGTGTTTCCCCGCAGGGTAACCAAGAGGCCACCAACCCGCCGGAAGCGATGGCCCAGCCGTACACCCCAGCCCAGTARCCGCCTCCCCCACAGAATGGCATCCCCGCAGAATTTGCGGCGCCGCACCCGCTTCCGACGCAGGACTACACCGGGCAGAGCCGGGTCCCGGAGCACGCCATGACCCTGTACACGCCCACGCAGACGCACAGCGAGCCGGCCGGCACTGACAACAGCACGCCCACCATCACCGCCACCACGACCGCACCGGTCAGTGCCCTTCATCATCTGCAAACACTGTTCTCAACACGCTGTCAGCAAGTAAAATATATTCTTCTTTTTTTACCATTCTGTTTGATTTACCAATGTCATGAATTGTTGATTGTGCTTCTTTGTCTTTGCATCCTTAACAAAAGTTGACTAATGTGATGTTTTTGCAGAGTGTAAATGTATGATTTTCAGTGGTGGGCACCAGTCTGCTAAAGCGCAAATCCYCTAATTGCGGACCTAAATATTTCGTTTGCGCTTTAGTGGTCTTACTGATTTTTATAATTCATAAGTGGATTTGTGCTTTCTAAAATTAAAATGCAGTACCGCTAATTAATTATCTACCAGTCATCATTATCTTTAACAGCAGAAGGTATGACTGTCAATGAATKACAACAKGRGATCTATCCAACAGCACCCCTCCCAGATAAACACACTTGTTGGAAACGTATACATCTTTGCTGACAGTTGCTCTCGGTCACGGTTCTCATTTCCCACAATGCTTTGTGTCTGTTTACGTAGCAGGAATGCAATGTTTAGTACTCCCTTTCCCAGCAAAAACAGTAAATGTGTGTAATCCATACTAAAAAATTTTATGTATTGATTTATTGTACTTTACAATCAGAGTTCCTTTTTAAAAAAAATTAATTAAAGTTTAATTGCTGGAGCTCAATACTTGACGTAATTGGTCAAAGCAATCTGCCAACGGGGTTAGGCAGACATCTAGTGGTCAGCTGGAGCAACTACATGGAAAACTTTCGTTTCCCGTCACAAATCAAATCCGTCATGTACCCAGAATGCATCGCTTCATTTTTCCAATAAACAGTTTTATAATTGCTTTATTGATGCTTCTTTAATTAAAAATCTAGAACAAACAAAAGAAAAAGACAAAGAATCAGCTGAACTAGCAATCCTCAACAACTTTTAAATTTTTACACCAGGAGCCAAATTTCTGTTTCAGGAAATCACATCCCCAGCAATCGACGCTCGTAGGATTAAGCTGTACATGGTACACTGCTAGTTGGCAGTGTTGTACATATGTTGTACATGAATTGTTGCCAGCTAGTAAATGTCAAATTGAACTTGCGCTTAAAAATTAGCTTCCGCTAGTGACAGCTCACACATAGATAAGCAGCTTTTAGCAGCTTCCGCTAATTTTTCTATGGCATAAGCGTTTTTGAAGTTGCAGACCTAAATATTTTCATAAGCGCTTTCGAAATTGCGGAGCTAATTTTTGGGTTAGCGCTGCCCACCACTGATGATTTTGTTTGTTTCCATCTCTAAGTCCCAGTAGAGAGCAAAACATAAGAAATTCAGCTTTTGGTTTGATTTGTTTAAAGGCTCTGACTGGCACTCAGAACAGGAAGCTTTATTCTTAATATCACTTCTTCCCATGAATGCACCAAAAGCTTATAAATACAGGCCCCAAATGGCTCCGCCCTCTGAAATTACTCTGCGTTATTTGCATTGTAACATCTGCACCTTGCAGAAAAACATGTTTTACAGATTTTCAATAATGTGCCCCACTCGGCTGCACCCAACATCAAATTACAGGTTAAAATCAGCCTTTATAGTATCTTTAATTAAGCAACACATAAATCACAATATAATGTGTTTGCATATGATTTTAAACAAGGTGTGCCAACAGATTGTTTCAAGAGAATTTAGAAAATTATTTTCTGCATAATTTAACATGCACATGTGGTCCCATCTGTATTATTGTAATGTGCATTTTTAATTGTCTTTACAAGTTACCATATTGTTGCTCTATTATGTCAACATAAGGTTGCATTTAGAAGTTTTACACTTCACCTCAGTTAGTGCACCGTTCCCCCAATACCATATTTTCTGATTTATTAAAAGTATCCTGCATTTATGTTGGGATTTTTTGTAAATGTTGTATAATTCTGGCTGCAAATAGAGCTCTCAGTCCCCTACATTAACTTTCAGCTTTTAAGAGAATAATTAGAAATCTCCTGCACTGAGGTGGAGATAATATTTGTTAAAATGTGAGGGTCAACTCAATGAATCAACTCATTCATGACTGAAAGCAGACTTTTAGTCCAGGTGAAGATCAGCACTGAAGATGCATCAGAAAAAACCTGAGCTGTTTGCTTTTATTTACTTGAAGATGATTTGACATGCTGCCACCATGAATGATTCAGGCCCTCTGACAGCCGGGCACCTTCACCCCTTTTGGCCTCAGAGATGCATTTTGTCCACTCAGATCAGTTAATTGTGTGTCACTGCACAATAAGACGTGATGACCGGTGTCAGGACACCATAGTTATGTTTTTTTTTTTTTTTTACCTGATCATGAGAATTAATGTGTTTACACAGTTGTCACTCTAAGTAGAGACTCAGCCTCTGGCTCTGGCTTGTAAGCAAGCAAAACTAAATTATGCATTTACTCTTKATGCATAAGATGCCTTGACTTGGGACTTGTGTCAATAGTTTAAAAAACATGGTGTGGTTTAAATTTGGTTTCCTGTCTGACTTCTATAAACCGACTATACTGATGATCAGCAGCAGTTTTAAAGGGGACATATGATGCAAAATCCACTTTAGCTACATAATATATTTTGTTGTGGACTTGGAGTCTTTAGGAGGCAGAAAGGTTTAGTGTCTCCTGGTGCTGCAGAGATATCTTTWMATTCTGTTTGGGTCAGAMTTTACAGCTCATTCAGTTTTCTCTATTTTCTATGACGTTTTCTGAACTATTACGCCAAATTATCTGTGTTGGAATRACCATAWAAGGTCTGGACTTACCAACTACAATTTCTTCATCTTAATTCTCCTCTGGTTCTGGTTCTGGGTCAGACTGGTTCTGGTTCAGACTCTGGTTCTGGGTCAGACTCCTGCTCCAACATGTAAGGCTGGATGAACAAACCTTCTATTGTTGACATCTTTTAATTAAATTGTAAATAAAACTTTTCTATAGCGTTAGAAAACGTAACCCTTTCTCTCAAACCGGAACCGGTCTGGAAGCAGGAGGGGCAAGGCTTGAAGCATCTTAAAGGAATGGTAACAAAACGAGCTGCTTTGAGACACAGCAGAAAATTGGTGAAAGAGGAGCTGGTAAAGATAAAATAAGCAGGAATTCAGACCTAAGAAACTAGCATGGCCGGGATTCTCAACTACTTTATTAGACACTAACTTMAATAAAGAAAACTTTCTCAACGAAAATGTTTGACAAACAAAACCTATAAGCAACATGCACTGACAGGTGTTAGACAGAATTCACTGTTCAACATGACGTCAATCATAAATATTAAACATAAAACGTATTACTGTGAAACAGACAGCTTTAATTACCAACGTTAATGCCAGCTTATCCATGCCAATGGACAGTCGAGGGACTTAGCAATCCAGTGAGTCACTAGCCTCCACAGTGCTAACACCAGCTTATCCATGGTAGTCACTAGCCTCTCCGATGCTAACACCAGCTTATCCATGCTAGTCTCTAGCCTCGCCGATGCTAACACCAGCTTATCCGTGCTAGTCGCTAGCCTCTCCGATGCTAACACCAGCTTATCCATGCTAGT